GAGGGGGGGGCGGCACGTGGGGGGCCTGCACATCGTCTCCCTCCGTCACGCGGCTGGGGCAGGGCTCCGAGGAGCACGCGAGCAGAGGCCTGGGGGCTCTCCCGCCCAGCAGGCTACGAGAGGACGTTCTTGGCCGGGGCACCAGAGAGGTGGGAGCACAGGAGCCAGGCGGGGACACCAGGGCTTGGGCGGCAGCCGAAATAAAAGCCCCAAGAGGCAGCACAAGGAGCGGGACTCTCTGGGAGGGGTACGGGCAGAGCCAAGGGAAGAGTTCAGAACGGGGTGCGCTCCAGGAACTAGTGCTGGGCTGATTGGTGCCTCCCACTCCCCGTGGGACGGAGCGACACGCCCACCCCAGTGGCCCCGCCCCCGGCGTGTTACCCTGGAACCACAGCGACTTCTGCACAACGTGCGCCCCGTCTCCCGGAGTTCCCCCAAACAAGGCCGTGGCCGTAGGGTACTGCCCCGTGCCCCTTCGCGGCAGCTGCTCCATCGCGGCCACATCGGAAAGCGATGATGCCATCAGGCAACAGCGCTGAAATCCTGGGTCCCCTTCCTCCGCGCCGCGGGCGGGAAGGAATAAGGCCCAGCGCCGCGGGCGGGAAGGAATAAGGCCCAGCGCCGCGGGCGGGAAGGAATAAGGCCCAGCGCCGCGGGCGGGAAGGAATAAGGCCCAGCGCCGCGGGCGGGAAGGAATAAGGCCCAGCGCCGCGGGCGGGAAGGAATAAGGCCCAGCGCCGCGGGCGGGAAGGAATAAGGCCCAGCGCCGCGGGCGGGAAGGAATAAGGCCCAGCGCCGCGGGCGGGAAGGAATAAGGCCCAGCGCCGCGGGCGGGAAGGAATAAGGCCCAGCGCCGCGGGCGGGAAGGAATAAGGCCCAGCGCCGCGGGCGGGAAGGAATAAGGCCCAGCGCCGCGGGCGGGAAGGAATAAGGCCCAGCGCCGCGGGCGGGAAGGAATAAGGCCCAGCGCCGCGGGCGGGAAGGAATAAGGCCCAGCGCCGCGGGCGGGAAGGAATAAGGCCCAGCGCCGCGGGCGGGAAGGAATAAGGCCCAGCGCCGCGGGCGGGAAGGAATAAGGCCCAGCGCCGCGGGCGGGAAGGAATAAGGCCCAGCGCCGCGGGCGGGAAGGAATAAGGCCCAGCGCCGCGGGCGGGAAGGAATAAGGCCCAGCGCCGCGGGCGGGAAGGAATAAGGCCCAGCGCCGCGGGCGGGAAGGAATAAGGCCCAGCGCCGCGGGCGGGAAGGAATAAGGCCCAGCGCCGCGGGCGGGAAGGAATAAGGCCCAGCGCCGCGGGCGGGAAGGAATAAGGCCCAGCGCCGCGGGCGGGAAGGAATAAGGCCCAGCGCCGCGGGCGGGAAGGAATAAGGCCCAGCGCCGCGGGCGGGAAGGAATAAGGCCCAGCGCCGCGGGCGGGAAGGAATAAGGCCCAGCGCCGCGGGCGGGAAGGAATAAGGCCCAGCGCCGCGGGCGGGAAGGAATAAGGCCCAGCGCCGCGGGCGGGAAGGAATAAGGCCCAGCGCCGCGGGCGGGAAGGAATAAGGCCCAGCGCCGCGGGCGGGAAGGAATGAGGCCCAGGGCCCCGGTTGGGAAGGAATAAGGAGGTGCTTTACCAGGACACGCAATGGCTTCCGCAGCGGCCACGCAGAACAAGAGCCACGCGCTGGATGCCCCATCGCTCAGCCCGAACACAACGGCAGCTTTATCCACCAGCATCTGCCCGCGGGAGCGTGTACACGTTTACCGGCGCCACATCAGCAAGGGGCTAACAGCGATAGCAAGAACGAGCGAAAGGGGCCGCTGACTTCCATGCGTCCCAAACGGAACCTTGCACCCCAATAAACTCCAACCCCCGGCCCCCTTCGCCCAGCAAATCCAGGTAAATGCAGAAAAAAAAATCAAATGTTCAATTGTTTTAAAGACACCGTGTCAGTAGCTCAGCGCAGGCAGGGTCTAAGAAAGGAAGATGAAAATTACTTAAGTGATGGCAAGTATGTATCTGGAACAGCTCTATGCACGTTCTGAGTCATGAAAGTTTAAAATATAATTTCTTTCATCACTGTAGGGTAAATGTTTCCCATTAACGCCTGCTGCAGCACTTTGGAGATTATTATTTAATACACGAATTAATTTCAAAACCCCAAACATCAAAGAGTCTCTTTCAGTCTCAGTCTCATTTCACGTGGTTTAGGCGTGCAGGGGGCTAGAACTGCTGTGCTTATGCTCACTGCTTCTGAGTGTACGAGAAGATTTATCCTGTGTTGCTTGGGCCTTAACTCAAAAGAAGTGGGTGGTGCTCACGGAGGCTCTTGGTACTAGCTAAGGGTATGTCTACACTAGCCCCTAGTTCGAACTAGGAGGGTAATGTAGTCATCCGCACTTGCAAATGAAGCCCGGGATTTGAATTTCCCGGGCTTCATTTGCATGAAGCTGTCCGGCGCCATTTTTAAATGCCGGCTAGTTCGGACCCCGGGCCGCGCGGCTACATGCGGCACGGAGTAGCTAGTTCGGATTAGGCTTCTAATCCGAACTAGTGGTACGCCTCGTGGAACGGCTCTTGCTCTTTAAGAGGTGTTCTTGTGAACAAACGGACTCACAGGCAGACAGACCGACACACAGACAAGCAGAGGCACAAACTCTCTGAAATATATAGTAGATGATGATAGTCACAAAGGTAGGGGGTGGGGGCGGTGCCGGAGTTGCCCTCTAAGGCTGGAACTACCTGGACAATCCAGATTTCTGCAGCCTCCACCCCAACGTTATTATTACTGCATAATTTTTTCTGGTGTTGGTCTGCTCGTAACAATAGGAAGCAGCTGTGAAGCAGGCATTCTTGTGCTGAGACGCAGCAGGACAAATATTGTATAAAGGGATACGATTTTGCCTTGCAGCGAAATACGTGAATTTCAAATGTCAGGCTTGCTGTATTCTGCTGCATATAAAAAAATCTTCCCAGCAGTCTAGGGTACGTCAGATGCCGGGCTGGCTCTCTTCGTTCCAAACGACTCCAGCGCATGGTGGCGCATGCCTTCGAACCGGGCTATGCTGGGAAGGAAAAGGGGCAACGGGCTTTACTGCGCACGGGTAAAGAGAACAGCTGCCCGGTGTCAGCATCGTGCCAGCTGCCTCATTCGCTTAGTTTAAAAACCCGCTTGGTGCCAAACGTGATTCATTCAGCTGGTCTCTGTGTGCACGTGTGGTTAACAGGAACCGGGCTCTGTACCAGACTGGCTGCTGTTGAGCTGATTGTTGTCAGGCCACAGAGGAGGAAACCACGGAGACTGCCTGTCATTATAGTTTGGTAAGGTGGGAGTGCCTAGCACGACGGATCCCAAACCAGGGAGACTGGGCAGCGACACGGCCGATGAATGGAGTGTGGGTAGATGCAAAGCCCTGAACGTATAACCCCAGCCACACACGACATGACGGGGCTGAACCCAGATGCTACTCTCCAAGGAGGAGATCACGGAGTCCATGTGGATAGTGCTCTGGACGCAGCTGCTAAGCATGTAGTGCCATCAAAAAATGAAGCCAAAGGCTAGGAGCCATTAGGAAAGGGACAGCTAAGAAACCAGAAAGTATCATCTTGCCACGATCTCACTGCGTGGGATGCCCACCCCTGGAATGCTGTGTGCCGTGTGGGTTCCACATACTAGAATTGGAAAAGGTACAAAGAAGGGCAACAAAAATGAGTAGGGGTATGAACCGCTGCCGGAGGAGAGAGATTAAAACGAGTGAGACTTTTCTAAGGGGGATACGATAGAGGTCTATAAAATCCTGAACAGCGTGGAGAAAATGAATAAGGAAGTGCTATTCCCCCTTCTCCTAACCCTGGAATCGGCAGTTGCCCAATGAAGTCCAGGCAGTAGGCTGATACCTGACAAAGGGGATCTCTTCACTCGGTGCCCAGACAATCTGTGGAACTCCTTGCTAGGGGAGGTCGTGGTGGCCAGAACTATAGCGGGATTCAAAGAAGAATTACAAAGCTCCTGGAGGAAGGTCGATCGATGGCTATTAGCCAAGATGGGCAGAGATGCAGCCAATGGTCCCTCTAATCTTTTCCATCCACGTGGGGAATCATTTTGTCTACGTGCACTGAGGCATGTGTGAACGTGCACTACCCGGAGAAACCAAATACCTAGTAGCGGGTGCTGTGCAAACCAGGTGGGCATCATTTGACTCTCTCCTGAGCGGCCGCCTGAGCACCCAGCTTCCAGGGAGCCCTGGTCACAACCGGATGTCCCTAACCCTCTGAGTGTCAGAAACAGGCAAGATGTCGGGGAGGATCACTCACTCTCTGGCCGGTTCATGCCTTCCGAAGCGCCTGGCATCCGCCCCTGCAGACAGGACGCCAAGCGGGAAGGACCGTTGCTCTGACGCCATGCACAGCACCGTGCGCCCAGCCGGTCCCACCTAGCCAGGAGGCCTCTGGGTCCAGCAAGCCTGCTGCAACCGCAGCTCTCGGAGCGCCATGCCGAGCGCGAGATCTCTCAGGGACGCTGCTCAGCGAGCAGATCCAGGGGTCCCTGCAGGCCCAGAAGGCACCTCCCACAAATGCAAGTCTGTGGAGCCCTCCTTGGAGAAGTGCGACAGGGCCAGGACGAGGGATGCGGCTTATTGCCCTGTGCCAAGAGCCGGCAGAGAGCTGGTGTGCTCGCAGCGGTGAGGACGCGTCTCATCCGCCTCCGCCACACGCTGGCGGGCGGGCGCTCCGAGCAGCGCGGGCCTTGCCTTGCCGGGTGCTCATTTAGCAAGGGCGCTGCTGGAGCCCCCGTTCTCCTCTCTGTTGTCAGAGGCGTGTCCGCAAGTTGTCAGAGCCGGTGCCCCTGCTGGCTCGGAGCCGCAGAGCGGGTGTCGGGCGCCGAGGGGGCTGGATGTGGAACGCGCGCGGGAGGAGGAGGACGGGAGTCGGCACGATGAGAGCTCCCGCGCCAGGGCTCCGCGGGGACGTCTGCTCTGCAGCGCTGGTCCGAAATCACTTCGTGCGCGTCTCCACCGCCGGCGGTTATTGCCAAATAGGGTCGAAACTCTGCCAAGCGGGAGGACTTCTCGCTGCGACTCCTGGAACCCTCAGCGTCCGAGGAGGGTGGGAGCGGGAGGGAGCGTGCTCCCCCTCGACAGCGGGGCTGCGGAGATGCTCCCGTTTCCGACATAGCTCCGCCATGGCCGTAGCTCAGCGGGCGTCGCTTATTCAGAGGCAGGCCCCGGCGGGGAGGGGAGAGCT